GCTCCATGATCACTGCCGATGGAGACAACAGCCACGAAGTTCAAAGACGCCTGTTTCTTTGGAGGAAAGCGATGACAAACCTAGACAGCATCTTAAAAAGCAGAGACATCACCATGCTGACAAAGGTCTGCATGGTCAAAGCTATGGTTTTTCCATTGATGGTTCTGAATTGTGGTGCTGGAGAAGACTCTTGAGAGTCCCCTGGTCTGCAAAGAGAACAAACCTATCCATTCTGAAGGAAACCAACCTTGAGTGCTCACTGGAAGGACAGATCAAGCCGGTACAACTTAAGTTATCAAAGTACCATGCCACTTTGAACTTCAACACCAGAAGGAATAAATCTTCTGGGTGAAAAGTCCCTCCCTGTGGACTTTTCAGGGAGGCTTTTCACTCTGACCCCAGCTGACCACCTTCCTCCCTGCTTTTTCCCCCTCTAGCCTTCTCCTATTCCCTCCCCTCTTTTCCTCAGTCCTCTCTGGGATTAGTCAGTGCCATCTGGGTTTTTTTAAGGATTATTGTTATCAGTTTTAATATTTCTGTTCTATTCTGTTCTGTTCTGTGAGTTGTAACCCACCCACAATAGTGCAGTGTCACTAATAGGAGTGGGATACAAATTGAATAAACAAACAAACAAACAAACAAACAAATTGCGAGGAGACAAAATGTGGATTGAATATCACACTTTGCCATAAAGGCCCTGCCTTAGCTTATTAGTACCATATTTATCATTTCATCGAAGGTATTGTAACTCAGTGGTCCCCAACTATTTTAACTCCACGGACTGGTTGGGGAAGGCAGGACACTCATGCGCGCACTCTCACGTGCATGCATGAAGGTGTGGAGTGCTCTGTGCACTCACGCACACTCGCGAAGGGGAGTGCATGTGGGGTGGAGTGGGAGATCTGTCTCCACTGCCCGGTCTGGCCCAGGCTATGGACCAGCATGGGCCACGGAGCGGGAGTTGGGGACCCCTGCTGTAACTGACTTAGCACAACTCAGGCAGAATGACATCATTTACTGAACTTCTTTCAGGTAGGATAGGTAGTGAATCTGCCAATATTCTCTAGGTGCTTTTGGGGGGCACTCTTTGTTTAATGTATTTGCGAAGGTTTTCATGGCCGGGATCTAATGGCTGTTGTGGGTTTTTCGGGCTCTTTGGCCATGTTCTGAAGCTTGTTCTTCCTAACGTTTCGCCAGTCTCTGTGGCTGGAATCTTCAGAGGACAGCACTCTGTGCTCTGGTGCAGTTTGCTTGGAAGTGGAGTATTTATGGCTGTGAGATAGGCTTTTGTCCTATTCAGGAGATGGGTGATTAGTTTGTCTTGTTGTGGGTGCATTGTTGTGATAAGGAGGAGAGATTATCTGTCACTGTGATTGATGGGTGTCATTAGCTGGTCTTTTGTGTGTAGTGATCCCTGGTCCTTGTGGCTGGGTAGAGTTCGTTGACCTTTTGCACGCTGTATTTTTGAGACCTGGGAGCCAAGTTTTGTTGAGTTTCAAACTTTCCTCTTTTTTGTTGAAGTTCTGCTGGTGCTTGTGGACTTCAATGGCTTCCCTGTGCAGTCTGACGTAATGATTGCTGATGTTGTCCAGTATTTCAGTATTTTGAAATAGAATTTCATGTCCTGCTTGTTTTAGGGCATGTTCAGCTACTGCAGATTTTACTGGTTGTTTTAGTCTGCAGTGTCTCTCATGTTCTTTGATTCTGGTGTGGATGCTTCGTTTTGTGGTTCCAATGTATACCTGGCCACAACTGCAAGGTATCCGGTATACTCCTGCAGTGGTGAGGGGGTCCCTTCTGTCCTTTGCTGACTGTAACATTTGTTGTATTTTTGTGGTGAGCTTGAATACTGTTTGTAGGTTGTGTTTTTTCAAAAGTTTCCCCGTGCGCTCTGTGACTGCTTTGATGTATGGCAGAAATACTTTATTTGTGGGTGGCTATTTTTCTTCTTCAGCGTGGTGTTGTTTTCTTGGTTTGATGGCTCTTGTGATTTCATTTTTGGAGTAGCCATTTGCCTGTAGGGCCCAATTCAGATGGTTGAGTTCAGTGCTGAGAAACTGAGCTTCACAGTTCCGATTTGCACGGTCTACCAGTGTTTTGATTATGCCTCTTTCTTGCTGTGGGTGGTGGTTGGAGTTTTTGTGTAGGTACTGGTCTGTGTGGATGGCTTTTCTGTAGACCTTGTGTCCCAGTCGGAAGTCAGTTTTGTGTAGGACCATGACATCTAAGAATGGGAGTTGGCCCTCTATTTCTTTTTCCATTCTGAATTGTATTTCCATGTAATTCACCATGGAAAAAGAAATAAGGGGGGCTCTCTCACTTTCCTCTGCAAATGCAACCCTGGTGGATCCTCATTGTTCTAAAAACCACCAGGAGGGATTGGATCATTGCTGCCCCAAACCTCCTAAGGGCCATGTAGATGCCACCAGACCCCTTGCACCTTCTAACCATCCGACTCGGTACCCTAATGCCTATAAACCCCCTCCACATGCTTCAGTCTCAACATATGATGACTCACCTGAGGACCCACTGCTGCTGGAATCATCATCCCCCTCACATGATATATAATGCAGGAGGAAACAATTGGGCAATATATATATATTCACCATATATATTGCCCAATTGTTTCCTCTTGCATTTCTCCATCCATCTCTATCACACTAGGAAGTAACTGTAATTAGGAGCCTGGCTCCACTGCCCAGGGCCTATAACATGACTTCCGGCAATGCTGGGCCTGAACTGCATCATCCACAGCCCATGCTGTAGCCACCGCACAACCACTGTTACCCATCCACCACCACATCTGCTGGGCCCCTCTGGATTAGGAGGGCCAGTGTATCAGAGAGCTGCCCTTCAGCCAGAGGGGGAGGCAGCAGAGCAGGGACTGAGGGTCCCTCAGACTAGAGCTACCCAACATTGTTGGGGCAGCATTTCCCATGGCCTCTTGCCTTTATTTGTGCAGTCAGGAAGGCCCTTTCACTGCTTGTTTGCCATAATGTGGGGCTATCTCATTCACTGGCAACTTGTTTTAGCCAAGTTTCCCTTTGGTTTTTTAATTGATTCACCTATTTGTGTATTCATCCCTGTACATATGTATGTATTTTCAGAAGTGTTATTGTTTGAGGATTACAGGGGGCTCCTCCCTGATGTGCTATTTGACATCCCTGATTGGATAGCTAGCAGCACTTGGCCAGGAACCTCTCCATTGCAAGGGCACCTGAGGGAAGGAACCCAATATGGCAGCCATCACCCATGTCCAGCCTTGCCAGGCTCCATGCTATCCCCCTAGGTACCCATGGGTGACTGTGGCTGAGCTTAATATACAGTCTAAAAGGAAATGTGTGCAGTTCAAAATTAAATAACACAGAAGTTCTTTTATAGTGGCTGAAGTAAAAAGTTGCTGCAAACAATATGGTCAAGGCTAGGCTCCGATCAACGGGAGGTGCATTTTGTCCCTTTTCCAAAGGCGATCCATAAGGATCCTATCACTACTCTCTGCAAAGCATTCACTAAAGTTTTCAAGAAGAAAATCATTTTAAATTCTGGAAAGCTTTTTTCGCAGTGTGAATTTGAGCAGGAAAGCTGCAATTACAACTCTCTTCCCAGACACTTCGCCAGTATTTGTCTCCCTTCAACCCTGATTGTTTATTATACACAATTGAGCTTTTTATTGGCATTAATGGTCAATTAAGAGGCTTATGTCTGGGGACCCTTTTGCTATCAGGAAACTGTGAGTTACTTGTGCTGCTGCCACCTTATTAAAATAAGTGTGAATAAATATCTGAAGATTAAGAAAATCAGTGAATGAATTCTATTAAATAAATTAATATGAAAAAATAAATTTGATTTTCACAAAATAAATAAGTTTTGTGCTACTGCTATGAAATTGCTTGATTTTGTACATTAAATTTGAAACGTGAATAATAAAAAGAAGGAAAAATTGGTGGGGGGAGGATTAAATTCTACAAATCTGTTATCAAGTACTGAAGTATTGTAATGTCTTTAAAAATTAAAACAACAAGAGCAAAATAAAATTAGCTAGTTAGCCATCTAATTAGCCCTTTCTGCTTTAGCCACATCTGCAAAACAGCACTTGGCCTCCCCAAAGCCATCCACCCCATTCTAGAACATGAGGGACCTGTTCCTGATAAGTCATGCGAAGCCACCAATGGTGTGTTAAGGGCAGTGATACCAGAAAATACTTCCTTATGTATCGTGTTTATCTGGTTTTGCCTCTGTTCAAGCCCCCCTCCCCCAATAATCCATTATGCTGCAAGATGATCCTTTCGTGTTGTGCATTAATACTGGCAGAAGCAACATTCTGAGAATGTTTTAGACATCTGAAAGTCATTGAATGTGGCACTAAGGAGCAAAGCGTGTTTGCCTGTACATAAGGAACGTACACCAGCATGTTGTAGCGCTGTGTGCTAAGTGCATGAATTATATTCACATACCACTGTGCAACTCCTTCCCTGCCCACCTCCCCAATTTCTGTAGACACAATTACTTATTTTGCTAGGTGTGTCATTTGAAGGGTGGGCACAGGAAAAGATAGATGCATTCACACCATAGTGGTAACTTATCCATGCACCTCCCAGTTGCGAGAGGGGAAAGGAAGAATGATTTTGATGAGAACCCAAAAAATGTCATGCGAGGAGTGAACTTAGAGGCAATGATCTTAGCACGTGATCCCACTCAGTTTTGCTTCCAGTACTGCGATAGGGTCCAGAGCCCCCAACCCACCTTCCACAAGCACCCTATGCTTTTCCTGACCTGAACAGAACCCTCCCTTCTTCCCATTATTTTCTACAATTTGGCAGCAAGTAAGCCCCTATGTGCATGTGGTGTGTCTGAGGCATCACAGTGATGTTGCATGGATTCTGACATTTTGAGTGGTTCTCATTTGTGGAGTAGGAAATATTCCCAGTCATTTACAAAGCAGGAAGTGTTCCTCTATATATTTACCTATCACAGCACAATTTGGTAATACTGTAGCCTTTCAGGAGAAACAGAAAAAAACACTACTGGAAAGGTAAGGTAGAGAAACCTTTTATTCTGATGGCATTTCTGATAGCCAAAGCAATGTCTTTCCTTCCAAGTAGAGTAAATGTTTCCCAATAGCTTGTAAAATACACAACCCTCACCACCAATTTAAACACTCATTTCATATAAATGAACTCTTCTGAATTGTCAGCTGGACCATTGTCAGTGACCTCTTTTGAATTACTAGATGTCAAAGATTAGGTAGATGGCTACTGGAGAGACAGTATTTCAGTGGTGGACCTACCATAAGTTGTAGAATGTTTGCTCTAAACAGTCTGGCTCCCTCAAGTCCACCTTTCAACCAGTGGCTTTTTCATGGCATTTCTTTGCTTTAACAAAACTGCACTCTCTCTTTCATAGACCAGTTTATCTGAGGGGTATTAAAACTCTAGGTTATGATTGCTGGGCTTATTTACTGCTTTATTTGACATTGTTTTCTTTTCATGATTATGTGCTTTGGTTTGCCACACAAATTAATGCACAAAAGAGTTTCAAATCTCCTAAATTCTGCCCTGCTGTGTTGCTCTTCAAGCTGGTCGTCGCTCTTGTTATGTGTCATCAAGTCACTAATGACTTATTTGTCAGCACTTTGGTTAGCAATATGTTTCAATATTGTTCATAGTGATCATCAACTTATTAAAATCAAGCCCACTGGAGTATTCAGAGGGAAGCGATATTTGAAATTATAGCAAGCTGGTTTAAGCATTGTGTACATGGAAAAATGAAGATCTTTAAAGGCTAAATACATGCACTAATCCTAACTAGGGCTTATGTGTTATGTGTGCTGCCAACTTACGTATAGTAGCCCTAATAGGATTTTCAAAATGAAGTGAGATATTTAAGGAGCCGTTTTCCCAGTGCCAACCCCCTAGAGAGTTTCCATGGTTGAGCAAGGCCTCCTGCATCCTAGTCCAATAATCTCTCATTTCGTTTAGTCGTTTAGTCGTGTCCGACTCTTCGTGACCCCATGGACCAGAGCACGCCAGGCCCTCCTATCTTCCACTGCCTCCCGGAGTTGTGTCAAATTCATGTTGGTAGCTTCGCAGACACTGTCCAGCCATCTCATCCTCAGTCGTCCCCTTCTCCTCTTGCCGTCACACCTTCCTAACATCAAGGTTTTTTCCAAGGACTCTTTTCTTCTCATGAGATGGCCAAAGTACTGGAGCCTCAGCTTCAGGATCTGTCCTTCCAGTGAGCACTCAGGGTTGATTTCCTTTAGAACTGATAGGTTTGTTCTCCTTGCAGTCCAGGGGATTCTCAAGAGCCTCCTCCAGCACCACAATTCAAAGGCATCAATTCTTCGGCGGTCTGCTTTCTTTATGGTCCAGCTCTCACTTCCATACATCACAACAGGAAAAACCATAGCTTTGACTATTCGGACTTTTGTTGGCAAGGTGATGTCTCTGCTTTTCAAGATGCTGTCAAGATTTGTCATCCCTTTCCTCCCAAGAAGAAGGCGTCTTTTAATTTCAGGGCTGCTGTCTCCACCTGCAGTGATCATGGAGCCCAGGAAGATAAAATTTGACACTGCCTCCATATCTTCCCCTTCTATTTCCCAGGAGGTGAGGGGACCAGTGGCCATGATCTTAGTTTTTTTGATGTTGAGTTTCAGACCATTTTTTGCACTCTCCTCTTTCACTCTCATTACAAGGTTCTTCAATTCCTCCTCACTTTCTGCCATAAGAGTGGTATCATCTGCATATCGGAGGTTGTTGATATTTCTTCCGGCAATCTTAATTCCGGCTTGGGCTTCTTCCAGTCCAGCCTTCCGCATGATGTATTCTGCATATAAGTTAAATAAGCTGGGGGACAATATACAGCCTTGCCGTACTCCTTTCCCAATTTTGAACCACTCAGTTGTTCCATGACCAGTTCTAACTGTTGCTTCCTGTCCCACATATAGGTTTCTCAGGAGACAGATAAAGTGGTCAGGCACTCCCATTTCTTTAAGAACTTGCCATAGTCTGCTGTGGTCCACACAGTCAAAGGCTTTCGCATAGTCAATGAAGCAGAAGTAGATATTTTTCTGGAACTCTCTGGCTTTCTCCATAATCCAGCGCAAGTTAGCAATTTGGTCTCGAGTTCCTCTGCCTCTTCGGAATCCAGCTTGTACTTCTGGGAGTTCTCGGTCCACATACTGCTGAAGCCTACCTTGCAGGATTTTGAGCATAACCTTGCTAGCGTGCGAAATGAGTGCAATTGTACGGTAGTTGGAGCATTCTTTGGCACTGCCTTTCTTTGGGATTGGGATGTAGACTGATCTTTTCCAATCCTCTGGCCACTGTTGAGTTTTCCAAACTTGCTGGCATATTGAATGTAGCACCTTAACAGCATCATCTTTCAAGATTTTAAATAGTTCAACTGGAATGCCATCACCTCCACTGGCCTTGTTGTTAGCCAGGCTTTCTAAGGCCCACTTGACTTCACTCTCCAGGATGTCTGGCTCAAGGTCAGCAACTACATTGTCTGCATTGTCCGGGATATCCAAATCTTTCCGATATAATTCCTCTGTGTATTCTTGCCACCTCGTCTTGACGTCTTCTGCTTCTGTTAGGTCCCTCCCATTTTTGTCTTTTATCATGTTCATCTTTGCGCAAAATGTTCCTCTAATATGTCCAATTTTCCTGAACAGATCTCTGGTCTTTCCTTTTCTGTTATCTTCCTCTATTTCTTTGCATTGTTCATTTAAGAAGGCCCTCTTGTCTCTCCTTGCTATTCTTTGGAAGTCTGAATTCAAGTTTCTGTAACTTTCCCTATCTCCCTTGCATTTTGCTTCCCTTCTCCTCTCTGCTATTTCTAAGGCCTCGTTGGACAGCCACTTTACTTTCTTGCATTTCCTTTTCTTTGGGATGGTTTTCGTTGCTGCCTCCTGGACAATGTTACGAGCCTCTATCCAAAGTTCTTCAGGCACTCTGTCCACCAAATCTAGTTCCTTAAATCTGTTCTTTACTTCCACTGTGTATTCATAAGGGATTTGGTTTAGATTATACCTGAGTGGCCCAGTGGTTTTTCCTAATCTCTTCAGTCTAAGCTTGAATTTTGCTATGAGAAGCTGATGATCAGAACCGCAGTCAGCTCCAGGTCTTGTTTTTGCTGACTGTATAGAGCTTCTCCATCTTTGGCTGCAGAGAATATAATCAATCTGATTTCGATATTGCCCATCTGGTGATTTCCATGTATAGAGTCGCCTCTTGTGTTGTTGGAAAAGAGTGTTTGTGATGACCAGCTTATTCTCTTGACAAAACTCTATTAGCCTTTGTCCTGCTTCGTTCTGAACTCCAAGGCCAAACTTCCCTGTTGTTCCTTTTATCTCTTGGCTCCCTACTTTAGCATTCCAGTCCCCTAGAATGAGAAGAACATCTTTCTTTGGTGTCAGTTCTAGAAGGTGTTGTAAATCTTCATAGAATTGTTCAATTTCAGTCTCCTCAGCAATGCTGGTTGGTGCATAAACTTGGATTATTGTGATGTTGAAAGGTCTGCCTTGGATTCGTATTGACATCATTCTATCATTTTTGAGATTGTATCCCATTACAGCTCTTCCCACTCTTTTGTTGACTATGAGGGCTACTCCATTCCTTCTACGGGATTCTTGTCCACAATAGTAGATATGATAATCATCTGAGCTGAATTCGCCCATTCCTGTCCATTTTAGTTCACTGATGCCCAGGATGTCGATGTTTATTCTTGCCATCTCCTGTTTGACCACCTCCAGCCTACCAAGGTTCATAGATCTTACATTCCTGGTTCCTATGCAGTATTCTTCTTTGCAGCATTGGATTTTCCTTTCACTTCCAGGCACGTCCACAGCTGAGCGTCCTTTTGGCTTTGGCCCAACCACTTCATTAGCTCTGGAGCTACTTGTACTTGTCCTCCGCTCTTCCTCAGTAGCACATTGGACGCCTTCCGACCTGAGGGGCTCATCTTCCAGTGTCATATCTTTTAGCCTTTTGTTTCTGATCATGGGGTTTTCTTGGCAAAAATACTGGAGTGGCATTGCCAGTTCCTACTCCAGGTGGATTGCGTTTAGTCGGAACTCTTCAGTATGTCCTGTTCGTCTTGAGTGTCCCTGCACGGCTTGGCCCATAGCTTCTCTGAGTTACTCAAGCCCCTTCGCCACGACAATGATACAATGAGTCTATTTTAAATGGGTTAAGTCATTGGAATTAGCCTATCATCTTCACACTATCCACTCCAAAATTACTAGGTACAGTATAGTGGAAGCTATTTGCCAACTCAGGTCATTATAGTGTATGCTTAAGTTCCGTTGATACAATGAGTCTATTTTAAATGGGTTAAGTCATTGGAATTAGCCTATCGTCTTCACACTGTCCACTCCAAAATTACTAGGTACAGTATAGTGGAAGCTATTTGCCAACTCAGGTCATTATATGACTTTTCCCCTCTTGTTTTGTTGTTGTTAGTTTTGTTACTGAAATTTATTTCTGACTTTATGTGAGATTTTTCTAAAAAAAAATTACAGGCCCATAAAATTTTCCAAAGTCTATTCATATAATTAGGCTGCACAACTATGCTGCCATCTTACTGGAATTATGTTTGACTGGATTAAATGAGGTAGTTCGTTTGCAGTAAAAGCTCTGCCCTCTACTTTAAAGTTACCGCTGATCTTGTTCTTTCCACTTCTGGCCGTTTAGTTGTCACATCTCTCTCTCTAGCTGTAATATTCTAAACTTCAGGTGCTTCAAAGCATAGCAGGTTGGAGATGCAGTGGCTGCTTCAATTCCATTTTTTGCCAAGGGGATTTTGAAGGTATTTTCCTATTCTCCAGCATGCATCTTCTTGGATTTTAGCAGTCTATGGGTACTAATCTCTCAAGCAGTGGTTCCCAGCCTTGGGTAACCTAGGTGATCTTGTACTGCAGTTCCCAGAAGCCTTCACCAACAACTGTGTTCACAAGAGTTTTTGGGAGTTGCAGTCCAATAACGCCTGAATTGCCCAAGGTTGGCAATGGTTGCTCTTCAGGAAGTAGAGTGCCAGGCTAGAACAAAAGAGGTAGATTTGCATTCTCACTAAATAAAGTAGAAAGCAAGATGATGATAGTACTTACCCTATTTCCCCAAAAATAAGACCTAACCTGAAAATAATAAGCCTTAGTATAATTTTTCAGGATGCTCGTAATATAAGCCCCACCCTAAAAATAAGCCCCAGTTAAATGAAACCCCCACATTGTGCAACAACCACATGACTGTATTTGAATAAATGTAGATTGTTGTACATGAACAAAATAAAACATCCCATGAAAATACGTCCTAATGCATTTTTTTTGGGCGGGGGGAGCAAAAATTAATATAAGGACCTGTCTTATTTTCAGGGAAACACAGTAGTGGATATGTTGAAATAGAATTATTTATAAAAAATTTATATGTACATATAAAATCTGATAAGAAACACTTCTAAAGCACCCCAAAACAACATTATTTAAATACATTACCATTCTTTAACCATTTGAAAATTTGACCATTTGCTCATTAAGCCTACTGTTACTATTTCTACATGTAACAGTGAAGTGAATCACTGAGGTAAAAACTGAGTAAGAGAAAGACATTGAAGAATGCAAATGTCATCTTCCTCAAGACTGAAGCAATTTATGAGGCTGGAGAAACTAACTGCTCCAATGAACTCATAATAGGTAACCATTTATGAGAATGAAATGCAGCCTTTCATAGGATTTGGTCATTAAAGCCCATTTCACAGAGGCAAATCTAGGTTTGAACTCAGTAAGCATTCAAGAAGGAGTGGCAGTGAGTCACCGTCCAATGGTTAGTCCACCTCTATTATATATAGAGGTTAAATTAATTAAAACCAATTAAAACCAATTAATTTCAGTAGATGTTCAGGAGGAGTTTTCAAGGTGTATTTATTATCTGCGATGGCATTCCTAACTTCACTGGTAGCTAGAATGGAAGTAAAATTTACCTGAGAGTCACATTCGGACAAACATCCGTTGTACCAGCATCGGTTCTGAGAAGTCATTTTGGAACATATGCTAAACGCAGTGAGCTGTAGACAAGATCAACATCACCACAGCATGAAGGCAAGAAAAAAAATGTTATACTGGGAAAGAAAAACCATTCTAGGACCCCACTTTGGAATTACAACCCAAACTGGAATTATATACATACCTCTGAATATACATGATTAGGGTGACGTTGGCTGGTATCCTGTGTCAGGAATGCATCTCCGTAGAGAAGCCATTCCACGAAGGGAAGGAGCCAAACTATAATCCCCAATTTCCACCACCTTTTCGTCCTAGATTGGGTGAGACCTAGGAGGTGCACAAGTGGGCAACTAAGGGCAATCTTCTGTCCCTACATTTCCAATTAGGCCCTTATTTGAGCTTTAAACTCTTCAACTGTGTGCTTTGAAACTTGCACACCACCAGTCTGACCAAGTAGGGCACCCAAAGAAGAAAATAGCAAACGTAGCCCTCGTAGCTAAAGGCACTTTTTAAAGGCACTCTCACCCTTGCCCCCAAGAATCACACTTGGGTAAAATATAAAATATTTATTTAAAAAGAGTAAAAAGTTATAAAACAAAAGAAATACAAAAAAGATACAAGCTGTACTGGTTAAATGCCAAGCATCTAAGTATTAAGTAAGCTTCTGTAAGACTTTCCCATAAAACAATACAATGATTAACTAGCTAATTTTTTTGCTACTTAATGAATAGGCTATTCTAAGTCACCATGGAATTGCCCTCTGAAATTGTGCAACAGGTCACACATCCCTGGCATGACTGATTGTGCAATGCATTGGTGGAAATGCTTAGGGAATAGCACTTATGCATAGATGTTTGTGCATCTACTGTGGACACAACCTTGAGTTGTGCATGCATGATTGTGCAATGGGATGAACTGAATGTTTGCAAAAAAACCCTTAAGTGATAAAAGATTTTAACTAATTGCTGTTTTTTTCCTCTCCTCCAGAAATGCGTTTTTCAATTATCATTCTCCCTTTGGTTACAGTATTGCAGCAATCTATAGGAGAGGTATGACTTTTGGAATGTCTGTCAAACATGGTGTGGGCAGGAATGACAATGACTTGAAGTCCAACACTTTGTGGAAATAACTTCCTGCTAGGTCTCTTAATCCAAGAAGGGTGCGCATCCCGACCTCTTGACCAGGTTCCAGAGAGCCAAAAACATATAGGGGGAAAGCTACCAGTACCAGCGCTGCTCACATTGAACCCACTGACCTCAACTGTTGCATGGGCTTTGAGGCTACTATGTTTGTAGGTTTTCATGACAGAGGAAGCAAACCCTTATTATTCAGATCTAGAAGAAAACATTTGTCTCCCTTACAAGGAAGGAGAAAATGGAACAAAAATCTTGGGTTGCTTGGATGTGAAACTCAGCTCTCCATAGTTTTGAGGAAGACCAACTTAGAAGCATTTGTGTGAAATGTACGGGCTCTGAGGCCTTCACCATCCAGGCAACAGATGGCTCTGTTGCCACTCTGACTCTAATTAGGAGGATAATGTATGAATGGTCTCTGATGTCAGGCAAATGGGATGGGATCTATAATATGAATCTGATATCAGGTTGGATTATATAGATGGTGATGGTAAGCAACACTGAGATGAACAAATTGGGAATTTAAGGTAATGACCTAGTGGGATATTAATATGAACACTTCATATAGACATTTGGGGGGGGGGGAGAGAGGTTATTTTCCCTCCAAACAGATGTATTTAGCATAATATTTTAAAATCTTTGCCAGGATCATTTCAAAGGCTTTGGTAAGATGAATCCAGAAAAGCAGAAGGAAATTCTTGATGAACACAACACCATCAGGAGAGGGGTTCAGCCAACTGCCAGCAATATGTTGAAAATGGTAAGATGCAGGTGATTGATATGGCTGGATATTGGGAGATTTCACTGTCCAATCACAATCTTTCTTTCTTTCTTTCTTTCTTTCTTTCTTTCTTTCTTTCTTTCTTTATTTCTTTCTTTCTTTCTTTCTTTCTTTCTTTCTTTCTTTCTTTCTTTCACTCGTTCCTTATGAGCGTGCAAGCTCCTGGTGCTGCCTTCTTAATCCTTTAACTTACAGTAGATTGTGCTGCCTCCATATCACCATCTTGGATCCCTTCAATTTTTTGCCTTTTTTCCTTGTTTTTTTGGGGTGGGGTGGGGTGGGAGGGTAGGGGAGGAATTTCCTTTCATTTCTTTCAACTACTTTTCGTGCTGCCATGTGGCAGCCTGCCTGTAATAACACACCTCATTGGGACTATTTTTTTAGAATCCCCTCTGCCTTGATGGCTCTTCAATTTTTTGCCTTTTTTCCTTGTTTTTTTGGGGTGGGGTGGGGTGGGAGGGTAGGAGAGGAATTTCCTTTCATTTCTTTCAACTATTTTTCGTGCTGCTATGTGGCCGCCTGCCTGTAATAACGCACCTCCTTGGGACTATTTTTTAGAATCCCCTCTGCCTTGATGGCTTTGCCAAATTTCTTTCTTGGATTATTTTTGCTGCCAGCCTGCTGCTGCCTGCTGACATCAAGAAGAGAAGAGAAAGTGTCAGGTGGTAGGGTGGTAGGGAGGAAAGAAATATTTCCAGATGCTAGTAGTTGTGGTGGGGGTGCCTCTCTCTCTCTCTCTCTCTCACTCACTCACTCACTCGCTCGCTCACTCACTCACTCAAGTCACTCACTCACTCACTCACTCACTCACTCACTCGGGGGGGGGTTGTGTGCATGTGTTTTTCCCCCTTGAGTGGAGAGTGTTTTCCTGTTTGATCATTTTTTAAAAAAATGTTATTTAGTTAATTTACATGGGTATTTATTTTGTTTAAAGTATATATTTTTGTGGGTTTATTTGAGGCTGTTTTATTTGCTACCATGAGCCGGGTTATGTGGGTGTATTTTGCACCTGTTCTTTTCTGTCAGTGGTTTGAGTGAATATGTAAACAAGCATCTCCATAGGTCTGATTAGGATTTTTCTTTCTTTTGTACTGTTCTCTGCTTTTGCAGTAGATTGATTTTCTGTTGCCTTGCCTCTGCTTCTTGGAACAGTTTTTGTAGGTTCTTTAGGGCTTTGGGATTAGTACCAGAAAACATGAACTGAGAAACCCAAAACAAAATGACCCAGAAGAGGATTTCCCTTTCTTGTAAAAGAAATGAACTGGTGCATGAAAAACATGAAGATGAAAGAAGCATTCCTTGGAATAACCAAAAATCAAATAAATAAATAAAAATACTATGCACATCCCTAGTTCTGATGACGAGTGTTTCTAAAATATTTCTTTGAAAAGATCCAAATCAATGTTTGTTTCAGATCCCCACGGAACAGTTCAGAGAATGGCCTAATTCTGCCCAAATTACTTTAGATATCATGTGATTTGGTTTGGGTCCTGAAGCAAGTTTCTGAACTCTAAACATTCCTGCTCATTATTCCTGACATTAATTGTAAATCGGAAATAACTCTAGATTTTGCCTGTCTGGCAAAAGGAGATGCAATTCACAGACCGTGATGATACAACCTACAGTGCTATGCTAGAGGCCTGGCAAAAGCCTATACACTTGATCACTGGTGCCAGAGCTGACCTGTCTTGCCATTTCTTGCAGGATCTACCTGCTTTTAGATGTTTTGGACTCCCAGTTTTCCAGGGATTTTTTTGGTCCCCCTTAGGATCTTATGAAACTGGCCAAGCAGAATCCTTAGGGGTAGAGCAGTTCTATGATGAACAACTGGAGGTTCTTCTACATGATCTCTGTGGCAATCAGGACGCCAAGCTAATCACCGCTTCCTCTTCCTCTGCCACTAACACAGCAACAACTCTTGTTGACCAGCCTTGCTATGAGAATATGCCTGAAATGGCTTTATAGGAACACAGAAAACTGTCTTACTGGGGTCCAGATAGCCATACTAATCTAACTGTCGTGCTGATACAGTATTTATTTAGCACTTCTGGCAGAGGTTTTTCTAGCTCTACCCAGAAAAGGCAGAGATGGGAATTTTTTGCATTAAAAGCACTTGCTCCACCACTTATCTTTAGGATGTAAATATTTGCTTTTCTTGTCATCACAGGCAAGGATAATGAATCATACAATTCTTTTTCTTGCCTGCACAGATTGCTTGGGATTTTATTGTACTCTTGAATCCTCACATTTGCAAGGATGACGATAATGATGATGATGATTTGGCAAGATAAACCACTAAAACAACAGAGCAATAAAGTAATAAATCAAACTGAACTGGAATGACTATTGCCTTGTTTCACATGTGCTTATTTGAAGCCTTGGATGGGTTGTCTGTGTCCCTTTTAAGAACAATCATCAAGCCTTCTATGCTTGCCGTATGTGTTGTACAGACCTTGATGAAGCTCTTTGTCCCATTATTAACAGGGGGCAAGAATCCCTTGCAAGACTGCCAAACTCCTTTTTGAAGTGTCTCATGGTGCTGAGACAGCCAAAATGAACAAGGAAGAGAAATCTAGCAATTCTTCACAAATGAACAAAGGCCATTTCTTTAGATATATATATATTTTTGACTTATATACCGCCCCATAGCGCTACAAGCACTCTCCGGGCGGTTTACAATTTAATTATACAGGCTACACATTGCCCCCCCAGCAAGCTGGGTACTCATTTTACCGACCTCGGAAGGATAGAAGGCTGAGTCAACCTTGAGCCGGCTACCTGGGATTTGAACCCCATAGATTAATTTTGCCCATGTCTGAAGTAATACAGAGCCAGCAAGCTATATCTTGGGTTGTTTATAATCTATGATATGAAGTTAATCTTATTGCAAAGATTAACCACAATTTGTTGGGTTCAGACAAAATATCTTAACCAAAAGCAGACGTCCTGCTTTCCTCCTGTTGGCCGCACTGGAGGAGAAGAATCTGGGGCTCAGTGTGGCTCATTGCTATCATGATAAAACATACATTATCCTGACAGCCAGATAGTCCCAATGTAATGTTGCTGCTTTTTTCTGCCCTTCACTAAGACATGGAGCGAGAAAGCTGCTGAGAGTGCTCGACGAAGGGCTACAAAATGCCTACCTATAGTCAGTCCCAGAAAGGAGCGAACTGTGGATGGTAAGTGAAGGGAAAAGATATGGGATTTATTTATTTTGTTTATTTGTTTGTTTGTTTGTTTGTTATAATGTTTTTATCCTGCCTTTCTCCTTAAAAAAGGACCCAAGGTGGCTTAAATAATTTAATGACTGTGTATGAAGCTGACAACAGTGGGTGTACAAACACTAAAAAGGATCAAACGAATGCAATACTAAAAAAATAAGCGAAACCAAAATACAAGTAAAGTACAGCAGTCCATTAAAAAAACACCCCCTCAGGCCGCCAGTCACTCAGGGAAAGCTTGCCTCAAGGTCTTCGCCTACTTGCAGGAGGACAGCAAAGATGGGGCCAACCTGGCCCCCTGTGGGAGGGAGTTCCAGTGTCTGAGAGCAGCGACAGAGAAAACTCTCCCCATGTCCCCTCCAAATGCACTGGTGAAGATGGTGGTACCAAGAGAAGGGCCTCTCCTGAGGATCTTCACACTTGAGCTGGTTCATAAAGACAACAAAAAGTGTTTCAGTGACTAAATAGAAAAGCAGCTTGACACAGTCTGAGCCTGCTATTCAAACTGGAAGTTTTGGGGTGGTTTTTCATTAAAATAAAACATGCTTTGGAACAGGGTTGCACATGTTTTTAAATGCAACATCTAGTTTATAACTTACATAGTAAATCAGTAGGTAAGCAACTTCCTGCGACCTGCCTGGTGAGAATTTCATCTTCCCTTTTTTGTTCCATCAAAATATTATATAAACTGAGAAGACATTGGTTTTTTACACTCCTCCTTAAAAATTTAATTTAAATTACACAGTTTTGACATTCTTCCATCAAATATATGACTTGTTATTTAAATGTATCATGGTACTTCTTAAAAGAATTTGGATATGTTCCCAATGTCTATTTTGCTGGAAGGTCTTGAGTCAGTTTAATGGCCAGTTGGTAAGTGCTTTAGGGCTTGCAGCTTTGGACACAATTAATTTCTTCTTATTGCAGGTGTTCTCTGTAGTGAGAATGTATTGCACACAGAGAGTGCTACCTCCTGGCCAAATGTGATCAAAGTGTGGCAGCGGAAAGAATCTAACTTCCAGTATGGTATTGGGGTACTTGACCCAGAGAAAGATGTGTTTAGCTATACTCAGGTATGAACATGGACAGCAGGAGGAACAATATTTTGGAAAGAAAATAAATAAAACATTAGAAATAACATAAGGAAAAGACATATAGTTTTTGGTGCTATTTTAAAAAAAATTCAATTATAGTTCATGTATAAAGAGTTGTAACTATACAGTATCTGTAGCTGATGTATATAGTTCAGGCTGATGAGAGAATTCCATGTTATGTCCACAGAAACAAATGAAAGCAATGGCTTTGCTTTCTTTTTGACAACTTTTTTTTAAAATTATGGCTATCGTTCAGTGATGCTGCAATTCTACCCATCACTTCTTATACCTTCTGAAACTTGAAGTCTCCACTTTTGCATTTTACTTAAGAGGACAAGATAGAGTGACAGTTTAGAATGAAATTTATGGCTTTGTACAGTGACTCCATGGTAGTGTGTTGCTGTTTATTTATTTATATGATGTCTTCTTAAAAATGTTTAATTAAAATTGTTCAGTACAGACAGGGTTTCTTTTCTCAACATCAATGCTTGACTTTTATTTCTTACATAGTGTTTTGTTTATATTTTCCCATCTTGATTAACATCAGTGCTTTGACACATTTCAAAAATTGGAGAAAGTCTCAAATGAGGGAAAAATCCCACCTTCAAGTATATGGTTGGGGCTAAAAGCAAGGAAATGCAGAACACAGATCACATACATCTTCATTCTAAACATGGATACATTGATGCACCCTTCTTCAACTTCCACTCCACATAAACATTACATCATAATCTCACTAGTCTCCTCCGTTCTTTCATCCATAGTGGAAATAGTATAGGGTTACCCATGGAAGAACTGGCACAAAAAGCCTTGGAGTGCAGTTACTTAGGGTGCACGTTAAGGGGAAGAAGGGGGCATCAACACTCTATGTTTTAAATGAAAATGGGGGGATTGATAAAGGGTTGGCTCTATAAGGATTCAGACTCAGAGGATAGGTTTGTTTGTTCATGTGCAGAGCTATAACCATAAAGCTTATTTCTTAACATATTTTTTTCATTGTTTTTTTTTAAGAAATACATTGTCCTTTCAGTGTGGAATCAATGCTTCAGATATGTATTCTTGAATGCTTCAGAAAACTTAAAAATGGCAAAAACAGTCAAATTAATGGAAAGATAATTCTTGTTACACAACGATCATGGGAATTAACACAGAGGAAGAAATACATGTATCTAGATTGTTAACTAAATTTTATACAATTGGATTTAAATGCTGCTTGAAATGTTCAGCTGGATTCTTGCCATTGTGCCCCTCAAAACCCATATTTGTAACCAAATTCCAGCAGTGTTCAGATACAGATTTTGTTAAGTTTGGAAAGCTGTTGGAACTCCAGAGTCTGCTCACAAAAAAGCTGGATTTAGTTTTAAATTTAATATTTTTCCAAATCTGAAAGACAACACTGGTAATTACAAGAACTACAATTACTTGAACGCTGTGTTAATTTTTAAGAAACTCTTTCTATTCTTATATTCATAGCTCATTTGGTATAGCTCACACCTGGTTGGATGTGCTTCTGCTTACTGCACAGGAACTCCATATCCTTTTATCCATATCTGTCAGTATTGCCCTGCGTAAGTAACCTTGTGAGCGAAATGTTCTTAATTTCACATGTTCTCTAGTGTCCTCTCATTGACATACAGGGCTCATTTCAATGGAGGAAGAAGGTCTCTGTGGAAAATAATGCATCTGTTGTTCTGGCATATCATGGAAGTTTTGTTTTGTTTTTTAATTTAGCTAGTTCAACTGTCATGTTAGCTTTCCAGTATGCATACAAAATGGCTGAATTGTGAATTTTCATTGTGAAATATTTTCTAAAGCTCATGTAACTCAGCACACCGTAGCATCTATACAATAACAGGCATAGACGTCCTGTATCCATGGAGTGAACAAAATCTTACAGAAAATATCACCTGATGGGCAAGAAAAGAAGCTAAGTGGGAGCAGCACCTCTTTTGTGTGTGTGCCTGTAACTCAGTCTATCCGTTATCTGGCTGTAGAGCAAGAGGTTGGTGGTTCAGTTCTCCGCTGTGTGTCCCAGGAGAAGAGCCCACTTGTGTAGCCGTGGGCAAGTAGTACAGTCCCAAGGCACCGTCCAGAAATGCCTAGAAATCTCTGAAAAGAATCACCATAACTCAAAAAGCTACTTGACAGCAAATAATAAAAAGCTAGCTAGATATTTTAGTGAGTTAGATGTCTGGCTGCAAAGCCAGAAGTTGGAAGTTCGATTCCCCACTCTACCTCCCTCGAGCAGAACCAGGTTTTGTAACCTTGGGCAAGCTACACGGTCCCAGATGTGTCCTTAAAAGAAGGCAATAATAAACCACTTCAGAGTACTCTTTACCTAGAAAACCCTGGATGGATTTCGAAAAGTCAGAACTGACACAAAGAAACCCAGTTATTATTATTATGCTGCTTTCAGTTTCTGCCTCATAAGGCCTGAATTCCTGGTGGAATAAATGATCTGCCATTATGTATTTGCAAGATCACATAGGGAGAGTTGGAGTGGAAAATTTTCTTGAGCTAGTGTTGCAGAAATAGGGAGTTGCAACATGGAAGTACAACACCTAATAACAATGGATGAGCAGTAATGCTTCAACTGGATTTTCTGTGAAAATACCCCACAAACATTTGGTTCATTGCATGATATTGGGATGGTCTTGAAAAACTATCTGTGTTGTGTACAGTTTCATCCAAGTGAATAAGCTAAATAGGTGCTGATTACTGATTTACTGGAAGCTTAATATTAACATATTCAATTGATTTATATTACACCTTTACCCTATAAAGAAAAGGTGTTTAAAGTGCAGTCCATGGGCCACATAAACTTTACATATTGTTAGATTCCACTGAAGTGCTGAAATATTACAATCTATTTTTAAAAAATTAAAAAGGGAAATGGGTGCTTATTAATTTTGGCTGAAGTGATGTTAAGGGTAGAATTGAACTACCCCAGGCTGATTTTTACTTGGGAGGGGGATTTCAGGATTTCATCATCTTCATGGGTCATCATCTCCATGGGTCTGTCTACCTAACATTAAGCTTGATCTATCCAGCAGCATGTCCCTTTCCTGACTTTTTGTTCTCAAATGATTAGAATGATAGAAATCTGCGGTCAAGGAACTTAAGGTGGTCTTCTTATCAGTGAGAGACCACTCTTTGATGAGAATGTGCTCGTTAGGACTTCTTGACATTGGTGGCTGTCATTCAAGTGATATATAGTACACAGTCCTACCACTTTAGCTGATGTCATGTGTAAACCTTTATTAATATATTATATAATAAATTATATTAGTGAAAATTATTTCGCACAGATGAAGTGTCCCATTCTTAAACAATAATCTGAAAGCACACGATCAAGCTATATTAATAATCAATGTCAGTCTGCAAATTATCTTACTCCCTTTTCAGTTGTGCTTTGGAGATAGATGTAATCGCATGTGCTCCGTAATTTCAGGGGGAACTTTGTACACCAATTGCAAACGCCCTACGCAGAAGGTCCACCATGTGGAGACTGTCCTCACAACTGTGAGGATAAACTTTGCAGTAAGTTCTGCAGCAAGATCTTTGCAGCAATATATTTATACCCTTTAAAACTATCAATCTTTGTAGAATAACTTGTAATGCTTATTATCATTTGTAGTCCGAGGCTGGCAAGGTTGAGTTGAGTGGGAGATCCTGGAAGTTCTAGCCCAAAAAAGGAAACTCCACAATCGCTATCCTTCCTATAGATCAGTGGGCAACCTCTAGAGGTCTAGGAGCCACTGGTACATCCTGCAGCCTTTTTTTTTTCTTTACAAATGTGGGGGAAGTTAGAGAAAAGCCATCTTTTTGAGAAATCAGGAAGGAAAAGAAAGAAAAAGAACAAACTGAGAAGGCTCCAGGGGTGTCAAAGGCCCTTCAAAACATGGCTGAATTTCCCACTTATGCTCCTTCGAGGGCACAGGTGAACTTTCTGAACTTCAGCTTTCCACTTTTCAAAATTTTGCACATGGAGGATGAAGTAGTGCTGGAGGGCTGCAAGTGGGCCCCTGGGGCCACATATTGTCCACTACCGCTATAGACAGAACAGTGACTGAAAAACTATTATGATTTGGTCCTGTTAATTTCCTGCTAAGCAAGGCCTCAGGGAGGTCATTTATGTTCCCTAAGGCAGGCACCTACAAATAATAACAGCTGCCCCTTGAACTGAGTCCAGAATCAGGCAGGAAGCTGAGTTCAATCACAGCTAAATACAGCTCTTATGATTTCCTGTTGTTGTTAAATGGTTATCACTCTGGGTATGTTCAAGGAGAACCACAAATGAAGTATGTTAAAAATAATAAGTCTACGTTATCAAGGCATAAACAATGTGGTAAAGCTCCTGCCTTCTAGAAAAGAAAAGAATGAGAGCAACAAATGTTTTGGGTAAAGCAATGTGACTACTGCAAGTAAAATAATCAGTGCTGCAAAACAGGAGTACTAGTGTTTGAAAACTGGTGTCTTTTTGCCACATCTGACTTTGTTTTCATTTGATCCCATGCAGCCAACCCCTGCAAGCATATGGATAAGAAAACAGACTGCAAAACCATAATAAAATTGTTCAGCTGTGAAACACCATTTCTTGAGCAATGTCGAGCCACCTGTGAATGTGAAACAAAAATTAAGTAAAATACAGATCAGGAACCTAAAATCAAAAGACAGCAATTGTTAATGAAACTGGATGGAAATGCAGAATGGAAAGAAACATCCTAGAATGTGTTGTTTGAAATCATTTTGTTGTTGTAAAAGCAGACTGATATCCTTTGTTTGTTTTTATAAAAGATATAGATATACTCAGTATATATTTAAAGAGAGTAAGATCAATTTATCAACCACTGTTTCTGCATTGTTTCTCTTTATTGATTGTTCTGTGCTTGGAAAGATTTGGAACACTACAAATTTAAACATTTACATTTTGCAAAGTGATCATTTGACCTCTATATTTTGACTTCACTTTAGACATCAGTTATGAACACAAAAACAATGCATCTGTATGTTGTGCAAACTAATACTGGGCTAAATCCAGCTGTTAGTCCCAGCTAAGGTAGACCTTTGAATTAATGAGATGACTTACTGAGCAAGATCTGTTCATTCACTGGATCTGCTCTAGTTGGGACTAATACTTGAATTTGGCCCACCAAATATTCTTCAGTAGGCTAGATCTTACTTCTCACTTTTACAACTGCTTCAGGTTGTATGTGACTTACATCTCTCATGTCTGATTAGTCACAGTGGCTTGAATCCTACTGATGATTTATGCATGTGTAAATGAAATTATGTAAACTGCAGCAGCAATTGCCTAGTGTGCCTGGGCATGCAAAGAGGAATACAACCAACATCATGTCAATTAGTGGCAATTTGCTATCATTATATGCATGACTCCTTGTGCTGGCATGCAGTGTGATTTGTGTGAGGTGCAAACCTAGAAAAAGTGACTAAAAATAAAGTTCTGCTGTATGCAAGTACCTGATCCATCAAAACCGCATAAAATACTGTATGCCAAAAGGGAATATCACATTTAATATGAATGCAACCTCTTTTTAAGCAACACACCATAGCGTGGAAAATAGGAATAATAACAGCATCTAATTTTCAAAATGTAAAACTGAATTTCTTTAGGGAATTCCATGGCACATAAAATATGAAGGAAGAATAAAAGGAAAATTGTCAAAACCGCATAAAATATGCCAAAAGGGAATATCACATTTCTTCTGAATGCAACCTCTTTTAAAGCAACACACCATAGTGTGGAAAATAGGAATAATAACAGCATCTAATTTTCAAAATGTAAAATTGAATTTCTTTAGGGAATTCCATGGCACATAAAATATGAAGGAAGAATAAAAGGAAAATTGGATCCAAACTCTCTGTGGTGTCTTGAAAGACACAGCCGTTTGAGGGCCTGGATTGAACTGGTGGCTCTGGTTCCAAATAAATGTTAGAAAGAGTGTTTAAACTAACCTGATTACCAGTGCCAGAGATTGTTCTATTGGGTGGGGGAGGTAAAGAGGAGTTTTGTTTGGGAGTAGTGTAATCATAGATCAGCGGGGGGACAGTCTGAGCCTGGGCGTCTACAAGGGTGAATGTTCCCCCCCGGAGATCTTTATTTATGATGCAGGTAGGAGACAGCGCCAGAGGGGGGACCGTAGCTGCTGTAGA